AAGACCCAACTTCTGCTTTTGCTAATTTATCAAATTGTACACAACTGTTTATGAACACGCGAATGCATGTACCAGTGGGACAAGTTAAGTTAACTAGATTTTGACCAAATTACTCGAACTCAATTTTACGGAATTTTCGCCGAAAAAATTCCTCTTTCAGAATAAGTGGTTGCTTGGTGGCGTAATCTAAAGTAGCTTAGAATCAGAATAACAAGAAAATAAATCTTGACCAATTAAGCAGTATCAAAAATTGCAAGTGTGTGACATAATTGTACATGTTTTAACTTTGTTTCAAAATTTTCGTATACAAGTATTTAGTACAGTAACAAGATCAAACGTTTCATTTTTTATTTTTTTTTTTTCACTCAGGTCGATAGCATGAACAAGCCGGGTATACTGCTGGAGGTGGTCCAAATTCTTACTGACCTTGACCTTATAATTACTAAAGCCTACATCTCCTCAGATGGAGGGTGGTTTATGGATGGTAGGTATAATTGGTGCTTTTCTCAGTTTAGCTAGAAATTCTGAAGTATTAATAAGCATGTAGTTATAGCCCGTATAATACTTACCTTTTTTAGTACATCTCTCCTTGTATTGGAGGTTTATTAGCTTACGATCTCTGTTTCTTTTTCATTGACAGTATTTCATGTCACCGATCAACAAGGACAGAAGGTAACCGACAGCAGGACAATTGATCACATTGAAAAGGTAGTTGTTTTTCGTTAATCTTGAAAATTCCCTAGAGAAAGGTTTTACTTTAGTTATATATTTCTTCCTTTCATAAACTATAAAAAGTTAGACCTTTCGGTTTTTCGTAAATACCCCAAACTTAAAAATGGGACAAAAATAAAAAAATCGACACATTTCTTGATTTTCTTCGAAACACATAGGCCTTGGGACCCAAAGGATCCACAGCCCATGTCCTCAAGGCCCTGCCAGGAAAACGGGTCGGGGCAAAACCCTCTGGCGACCACCACCATCACACGGCCATCGAGCTCATCGGACGGGACCGGCCGGGCCTCCTCTCGGAAATCTCGGCCGTGCTTGCCGGCCTTCACATCAACGTTGTGGCAGCCGAGGTTTGGACTCACAATCACCGAATAGCCTGTATACTCTACGTTGGCGACGAGGACTCCAACCTAGCTGCGGCTGAGGAGCAGCTCCGAAACATCTTGCGAGGCTCGGATGATGACGTCGCGCGAACGAGCCTCTCGGTGGGGTCCATGCATGTCGACAGGCGGCTCCACCAGCTTTTCTTTGCTGTTAGGGATTACGAAGGGGATGATGATGATGTGGAGATGGACGCGGAGCAAGATTGCTTGGTTAAGCCGAAGGTGAGGATCGAGAGATGCGCGGAGAAGGATTACTCGGTGGTGACCGTGAGGTGCAAGGATCGATCGAAGCTGATGTTTGATATAGTTTGCACGCTCACGGACATGCAGTATGTTGTTTTCCATGCAACTATCTCGTCTGATGGGCCCTACGCCTCACAGGTACCTGCTTTTTATTATTATGATTATTTGGGAAATGGAAAATGAAAAGTGGATTGATTGGAATGATTTTCATACAAGAGACTGAATATCTTTAAAATTTAAGTTTTTATTTGAACTGAACTTCGCCGGCTACTTGTCTTGATTGCTTCTGTACGTACGCTGCTATATAGTGTTTAGTTTCGATTATTGAGATTTTTTTTTCCGAACATGTAGGAATATTACATACGTCACATGGATGGTTGCACTTTGGAGACAGAAGCAGAGAAAGAGAAGGTCGTCAAGTGTCTTGAGGCAGCAATTAGACGACGAGTGAGTGAGGTAACAAAAGATGATCCACCAACACTTCTTGAATTTTCATAATTTTCACATTTTCGAGTTAATTTTTTTTAGGCAGTGCATCAAATAAGGGGGGTTATTTTTAAAGCAAATACATAAATCTCAACTTGGTATTTCAAAATCTTGTGTGTGTATTTGTAGATTTAAAGTCAACTCATTGCATAAATCGGCTAAACCTCAGGGCATGTTATAAAGGTTCTGTTAAAAGTTTAAACACACCAAATATATTGTCCAGGGCCTAAGCCTGGAGCTTTGCGCAAAGGACCGTGTGGGACTTCTATCAGAAGTCACGCGAATTTTACGAGAAAACGGGCTTTCGGTTACGAGGGCAGACGTGTCGACCGTGGGAGAACAGGCCATGGACGTGTTTTACGTGAGTGATGCTTCTGGAAAGCCCGTGGACTCAAAAACCATCGAGAGACTACGTAAGGAGATCGGGCAGAGTATGAGGCTCAATGTGAAAAAGGCCCCGACCGATGCGAAAACGCTCGAGACGAGTGGATGGGCGAAAACGAGCTTCTTCTTCGGAAGCCTACTGGAGAAGTTTCGGGCTTGAGCTTCAGTGGAGTTTGTGTGTTCACTTATGTTTGTGGTCTGTGTGAAGAAAGGTTGGTTTGTGTATGTAGGTGAATGTGTCTACTGGAAGTTGAACTGTACAAATCAAGAAAGTGTGTTTAATAAGTTGTACTAACAATGTTGTGCAATTTTTATAGTTATTTTTCAGATTTTTCAAAATGGGAATATTAATTGAATATATGAGATGTACGCTACGCAGTACTCAGTAAAATTTTTGGTGACATAAAAATGAACTTCCAATATACTACAATCCTGTTACGGAACTATTCCGTCCAGATTTGTAACCGTTAGATCAACTATCCCTGACGGTTACATGATGATCTAATGGTTACAAATTCGACGAAATGTGTCCGTAATGAGACTGTAGCATCTCAATATCTTAATGGATTGACATATGATAAATATTAATGACAATATTAATGATGAAAGTCAATGGCCATAGCTCCATAAAAATAAGTGAATATTATTGCAAAAAATGAGAAACATTATTAGGATAAAGACTAAAGAGTATTAAGCTTGTTGGATTTGAAACTTTTAAATAATAATAAGTCAATTTGAGGTAATAAAAGTGAAAAATAAGTATATTCGAGGCAGAAGTAATTATTCTATTTTTTTTTCGAACATTTGATCAAGAAATTAAGCATACGTGCATACGGGAAAAACACTTCCTGAAGTAACTTTAAAATCCTAAAAAGTGGCAGAAATTTTATGGTGCATATGTGGCACCATATTATGGTGCCACACAACATGATGTGGCACATTATGATTGGTGCCATAACTATCACATATCATGTGTGGCACCAATCATAATATGACACATCATGTTGTAGCACCATAATATGGTGTCACATGTGACACCATAAAATTTCTGCTAAAAGTGGACCTTTTCATATTAGGACAATATTCTAAGCAAAGTTCGGAATTGTTTTATAGGCATCTTAATCTGTGCTTTATTTCATCATAAGTTATCTTTTACGAGATGCAACGGTCCCGTTATGAAACCATTTCGTCGGGGTTTGTAACCGTTAAATCAACTATCCCGATGGTTACATGATGATCTAATGGTTACAAACACGACGGAATGGTCCCATAACGGGACCATAACACAGATTATTTAACATCACGGTTTACTTTTTTTTTTTTTTTTATTTATAGCTGTTAAAATTGAAATGGACAAAAGGAACAAGAATAAATTAGAAAAAAAAATAGCATAATTTTAACTATTTACCCTTAAACTATTAAACATATCATATGGACTGAATATACTAACCAAACTTAAGACATTTGAAAAAATAATAACTACAATTATGATGACTTCAACTAAAGAAGTTCTATCAATATTTTAATTTACGTGTGACAACAATGAAAGATCAGTAGAAATTTAAAAACAATTTTCTATTTTTCAATAAAAATGCATAGTTATTGTAGATGTTATACTTTTTATTAAAGTATGATATTTTAATTTCAAAATGTGTATATCTATTCGAAAAAATACAATTGTTTAACAAACAACAACTGATAATTAATAAAACCCGCACAAATTAAAATACCCCATACATCCATATCCAGAGTAATTAAGAAAATATTATAATAAATTATCATATTTAAGCTTAATTGTGTCTGGTTTTAAGCTTAATTGCAGATACATTTGTCCTTATTTTTCTGGACTTGTATGTAATTTGTCAAACCGGGGGCAAATCGAGTGCGGTCCCACACAAGTGAAGCTCACTATAAGAGGGTTAGCCCAAATTAAGCCCAAGTGGGGTTCCATCCCAAAACCAATTGGTGGAAGGAGGAGTAGCCCATTAGACTTATAAGACAACTCACAAGTGATATTCTAACAGGCCCCCTCACTTGTGAGTACTTCGGAAGCCCAAGCCCAACTGGGCGCCCCAAGCCTACTAGAAGCAGACTTTCTAGTAGACTCCCATAAACGGGTACGTGGGGAAGCAGACTCCCATAAACGGGAAGCAGACTCCCATAAACGGGTACGTCATCGCACGGTCCCAATAGAACCGAGCTCTGATACCATGTAAGAAACTGGGAGAAAAACGGGTGCGGGCCCACTAACATGAAGCACACCATGAGAGGGAAAAACCCATATGAAGCCCAAGTGGGATTCCATCCCAAAACCAATTGGTAGTAGGAGGAGTAGCCCACTAGGCTTATAAGTTAGGCCTATTTACCCTATCAAATCAATGTGGGACAACTCACAAGTGACATTTCAACATAATTAGCTAGAATTTGTGTGTGACAATAAATTTATGTCATTATACAGATCAATAATGCAATATATATATATATATATGTTCAATAATTATAATACACCAAATATATTTTGTAGAACGCATCTGGACTAAAACTGCACAAATATTCAAAAGCATGTTGAATGAGGGTGGGAATCATGAGTTGGTTCAGAAAAGTGCATTCTCTTAGTGGCATTATTATAGATAATAGAACACAATTTTCCCACATAAAATGCCATTAAATCAAAATTTAAATAGGTGTTGGAAAAATATGATATTCCTTTTTTTTTTTAATTTGCATATAGTTAAAATTTTATAATAACCGTTATGAGGTGTATTCAATTGAAATTTCTAAATATTTTTTAAGGTTTTAATTAAGACTTCAGAGATCCTGATGTATTTAACTTAGACTTCTCAAGACTTTTAAAAGTTTTGAGGTATCTATTTTGGGATTTGAAGAAGTCTTACAGAATTATGAGGTATTTAACTTATTTGAGACTATGATTTATTAAAACTTTTTATGATTTACTCGGATTTCTAAAGAAAAAAAAAAAACAAAAAACAACACGAAATCCTACTCTAAATCCATAACTCCAGACTTAAAATTTCACAAGACTCCTCCAAAATTTAAAGAATTTTAAAAATATTCAAATCTTAAAAAGACTCTAAACGTCACTCGAAATCCCAAACAAATACATCTCTAGTTTAGCTAATCCTACATGAAAAACAATTGAACCCACCACTCATGCAGTTGGTTGCAACAAGATGCATTATTTAATTTTATTCTAGTTATTTTATTAAAGTTTAATTTTAGCTAACAATTTGACCTCTACAGTTTGGTTAAATTAGATATTTTAGTAGTAGTAATCAATAAAGATATTTTTATTTTTTTATTTTTTATTTTTTATTTTTTATTTTTTTTTAACAAAGAAAGAGGCCGAAGGCCTATTCTAGAATTTGCCGGGGGTGAGACACCCCAATGTTATCATGAAACAACCAAGATCCTATCCCTATAGGCTGTGACAAAGTGCGATGCAACCCAGTCGGATATGAGGCCGCCAAACTTGTCATACAGTCAGCAGCGAAATTCGCTTCTCGATGGACATGTTGAACTCTAACATCCCAGGATCATTGGATTAAATCGCGATTGGCCTGAACCATGTCTTCAAGAGCGCCAAAGCAGTCATCGATCATCGAGATACACAAATCCATTACACAATAACGTGTACTAGTATAGTTTGAAACTGTACACAATATCAATATTATATAGTATATTTGACGTCGTTTCTAAGTAAACAATTATTACGTACTCATGCAATTAATTTGATATGTACTCAATTTCTATTATTTGTACAGAAAAAGAATCATGTAAAAAGTTATCTATGAAAGGAAGATTTTGTTACACAAAGCAGTGTTTGACTACACAGTAAATCTATGAACTGAAGATGATGATTTCAGTTCTTACAAAGTGAACTAAAATAGAATCGAAAATTACAAAAGAGAAAGCGAAAAAAACTGAGGCGATTGCTCTTTCCGCAAGACAAAAACGTCCCATATAGTGCTGACGGGTTCAAGCGTCTCGTCCCCAAAGATACAACGGCTTACGTCTCGAATGCTGTAGCACACCAGAATTCGAGCTCTGGCGAATTGGAATGAAGTCGAGAACATAGCACTTTTGATATGATGCGTGAGAATTTGAGAGTATTCCAAATGCATGCAATGTTGTGTGTCTTTCTCTGCAGCTCTAAGTCCTATTTATAGAACTTCCACCTCTTGAGGAAAAACAAACAATCACATCTGCCACTAAAGGCAGAGATAATGGGGCAAAACGTTTTCAGGTGTTAATACAACATTAACTAGGAGTTAACACCATTAAGTAATTAACCCTGAACCGTCAGGTGTCTAGGTTCAAAGTACCTGGAGAGGTCTCACTCGTGTTAGGTCAAAACCCGAGCCCAAGTCCAACTTGATTTGGATTTTTCAGTTGGGCCTAAAATTGCAAATAAATTTGTAGCAAAAAGATATATATCATTTGGGCCCAAGGCTCAAGCCCAACCGCCCAAGGCTAGCCCAAAGTCCAATTGCCAAGAACCAAAAAACAAGGCGCGCGCGCGTGTGGCCGAAAAAAACACCAACACTTGGTGCATAGCTTTGTGCTTGTTGTAACCTCTCAAACTCTCTTTATTATAATAAAGAGAGTTAATCTCATTTAAGTGATCAATGTGGAAATGTGATGTAGGGGAAGCGTGAACGAATGGGAAAATACGAGATACTCTCTCGAACTTGAGATACTCTCCCGTAAAAACACGAACAATTTTAATTCATTCTCAAATTCAACTGACTAAAACAATATATGATGAGCCCTTTAAATAAGACTCCAAAACCTTATTCCTAACTT